CGGCCGCGCCGGGGGCCAGCGCCCGGGCCGAGGTGAGAGGCGGGGGGCGGGACGGGGACTTTGTCTGGGGCTTCGGTCCTCAGTAGCCCCCTTCCTCCTCAATCGCCCCTCTCCCCTCATGGGGGTCTCCTCTGCTTCCTGCAGCAGGGCTTGTTCCCAGTGGAGCCCAGCTGGGTTGCCAGCAGGTGGAGGGAAGCCATTCTTCCCCTCTCTTCTGCACTGGTGAGGCAACATCTGTAGTACTGTGTCCAGATTTGGGCTCAGTGCTACAGAAAGGATGTAGACAAATTGGAGAGAGTCCAGTGGGGTTGCGGGGGCATGACTTCTCTAGACTAAATAAGCCCAGCTCCCCCATCAGAAGAGGAGACTGAGGGGGGATACAATAACATCCATTAACTATCTGAAGCGGGGTTCGAAAGAGGATGGAGCTGGACTATCCTCCGATGCGGCGGATGACAGAACAAGGAGCGATGGTCTCAAGTTGCTGCAGGCAAAGTTTAGGTTAGCTATTAAGAAAAACTTTCATGAGGAGGGTAGTAAAACATGAACAGGTCACCCAGAGAGGTTGTGGGTTGGTCATCCTTGGAGGTTTTTAACACCCGTCTTCTGTACCAATCCAGTTTTAATGTCTGTGCCTCAGTAACTGTCATGGGGAGATGTATGCATTAGAAAAGCAGGGAGTGTGCTTCCCTGCCCCTGCCATCCATGCCTACATTCAGTTAAAAACAAAAACAAACAATCCTCACCCCCCTTCCCAGCTCTCTGGGCTGCATGCTTCAGGGGGCCCTGGCAGCCCAGCCTCTGCATTGCAGGCTCTTTGCTCCTCTATCTGAACTTCTATGCAGGTCATTTCTTTTCTCTTGGGAAAGCAAAGCTGAACGTGTATATGCAGTCATAGTGACTTTGCAGAGCTTGTTGCCCTGGGTGAAGGGAGAGGCAGAGCTGGAGGTGGATTCTCCCCAGACCCTGTTGGGGAGGATAGATCTGTTAATGACAGTTGGACAAAACAGGTGAAGATGCCTCCCTTTGTGTTTGAAAGTAAGAAGCAGTGGATGCTAGGGAGGACGACAGTGAGGGCATAGATCACTCTAGAGGCATATGGTTCAGTGCTGTCCTTCTAAGGCAGTGATTCTCCACCAGGGTGATGGGACATCCTGGGGAGTCGCTGGAATTTTTGAGGGGTGCCATGAGATGTGAGGAGACAAGTTAAGCAGAAAAGTCAGGCTCAGGCTATTGGGCAATGCAGCCTGTGGTAGTCGCTCACAATTTTTCTGAGGTATTTTTGGGTAGCTTTTGAATATTGTGCAGGCACTACATTTGAAAACAAATTGAGAAAGGGGAAGCAGGCTTTCTTCTACTGATGAGGGATGGTGCTGGTAAAAGTTTATGCTGAGGAGGATAGATGTAAAGAAAGGATTATTAGGACAAAAGTAAGTGATTAATGTGTTGGAAAGGACAGGGCTTTGCTTCTCTCCTTCTGCACAGCTGTATAATGCATTTACTCTAGTGGCAGGTATGCTCTTTCGGACTGGTGCTTCTGAAAGGCCTGGCTATTTGATACTGAAATGTAGATTGATTTCTAGGACAGTAGACACTGTTCTCATTCTTTGGGGGCTTGAGCTAGGTTTCTTAGCCTGTTTCTTTTAGTTTCATAAAGAAAGTTGAATTGGCAGATGTTAGACTAGCTATTTACTAGATCCTTTTCAAGGTGGGATATGGGAGGGAGTACTGCTTAACAAACTTAGCAAGGTGGAAAGTTTGGGGCTCATGAATTACCAGCATGAGAAACCTGCAGCATGTGGGTCAGGTGCAGACATGTCACTAGAACTACCCCAATTCTGAATGTGGTCTGACTGAGCTGCTTTTGTCGGCGACTCTGACCACATTATAAGGAAATGTATTTGATAACTGTAGAGGGGGATAAAGCTTATAACTGTAAAGCAGAGAGTTTTGTAGTTGTTACTTGTCCTTGACTATGGTGCTGAAATAAATTGAGATGTGGTAGCTTGGTATCAGCACGTCTTGCTATTTTCATTCAACTCCCTGTACACTTCTGCCCCCAACTTCATTATTTATACAAAAAATAATTCCTTCCCGCAAATTTAAAAATTGAACTATTGAATGAATTCAGCTTGGTTATCTAACTGGTAAATTGGTTAATTTCTGCAATTTTAAGACTAATTCACCTGTTTTCTGCAATTATACTCATTATGGTTGGTAAAGCCAGAAACTACAGGCAACCCCCACTTAGCACTCTTAATTGGTTCCAGAAAAACTGAGTGTTAAGCGAAATTCATTTTCCCAAAGAAATGAATGTAAATAGATTAATTGGTTATTGCCTGTCCTGGTGCTGCCTTTCCCCACTCCACTGCCAGCGCTCCAGTGCCACATCCTAACCTGGACCTGTGCTCCTGCTGTCCTGCTCTGGGCCCCCGCTGGTCCTGGCCCTGGGCACTGGCACGGGTCCTGCGTTCATGCCCGCCCTCCCAACTCACCGCTTCTCACTGCCATTGCCTCTCCCCACCCCCCTCGCCTGTCTGCCAGCCTCTCTAGCCCCATTGCCAGCTTGGGCACTGGTGCTCCTGCCACCCCACTCTGGGTGCTTTCCCCTGTTGCCTCAGGCACCAGTGCAGGCCCTGCACTCCTGCCACCCCACTCTGGGCGCAGGCCCCCACTGGCCCTGTGCTCCTTGCATCTGTTCCTGCTGCTTCTCCCTATCCCCTGCCCACTCCGGCACCACATACCAGCCTGGGCACCAGTGTTCCTGCCACCCTGCACTGGGTGTGGGCTCCTGCTGGTCCTAGGCCCTGGCAAGGGCCCCACACAGTGGCGCACACACCACACTCCTGCCCCATGCCCTGGGTGTGTGCCCCTGCCAGCCCTGCCCTCCCTTCTATTGCTGTTGCTTCTCCCCACCCCACTGCCCACTCTGGCACCACATGCCAGCTTGGGCCTGCTCTCCTGCCACCCTGACCTGGTGTTACTTTAAAATAACAATTGCCAAATTAAGAGCAAGACCTTATAAAGGGGGAGCAGGCAAAATGCTGCATTTATTAATTACATGAATTAGACATAGGGGTTTGGACACACCACCCATATAGACACACAGAAACACAAAACAACCATTCCATTCAGACATAGTTACCAGCAGCAGTTGTTCAATAATGGCACTGGCTGGCCGACCCCGGCCTTATTGAGAGAGAGATTCCGTAGATAGCAGCTTTGGAGCAGGGTCAAAAAGACACGTCTGTCCTCCGACAGAATGGCAGTAGAGAGAGAGACTCACCCAACTTGGCATTTTTGAAGTCATTTTTTATAGGGATTGGCATCCTTTGTTTTAGCACTTCAGGATTTTTCCATACCCAGCTTCTGTTTTTGCAGTTGTTCTTCATTCGTCTTCAGCTTATCTCAGCCTGAGGTCAGTTTGCTCGTCGAAGTTGGTATTTCAGCCTTGGAGTGTTCTTGCTGCCCACCTGGCAGGATGCGTGCCTCTCTCCTCCTCGTTATCTCTCTTATGCTTGGATTCTTCAGCCATTCATTAATTAGTTTACTGACTGGTAACTTGCATTTGCTGCATTGTTGCTTACATAAACAGTTAAATCTTCTTCTCCCATCTCTATGCCATTCTCTCACCATTTGCCCTTTTACACGCACTCCTACAAAAAGGCTATGCAGAGTTCATTCACTTATGTCAAGCAGAAGGATACAAAATGGAATTTTCAAGTTGCTTACAGGACAAGACTAACATGGTTACATTTCACTATTATTACACTCTATGTTAACATCAGCTACGTTAGTTCAGTTCCTGCTGCAGTGGACCTTCATGCCTGCCTCCCCTACGCTCCTCACCAGTTGCACCCCTCACTTGCTGCCACTGCTTCTCCCTGCCTGCCTGCCAAAACTCCCTGATTCCACTGAGTGCTATAGTGAAACTGGCTGAGCACTCAGTGGAATTGGATATCAATTTTAAATGAATGCTCTAGCAAAAAAGCACTAAGCACTAATGTGAAAGCACATTAAGTGAGGGGTGCCTGTATTATGGAAAGTAAGAGGAAAAACAGTGGTCCAGAACAGGCAGAGATGCTTTAAAGTCCACCTAGCCCAGGGTCCTATCTCCGACAGTGGCAGGAGTGGCTGCTCTAGAGTAGGGTAGGGTGGCAACCTTTTCTGGCTGAGGGCTGGTATGCCCTGCCCCTGGTCAGAAGCTGGTGGGTGCTAGGGCCCAGCTGCTGTAGGCCCTTGTGCCTGTGGCAGCACTGGAAGAGCACCTGCAGCTGGCACTCATCCCCCCTTGCTGAATGCCAGCAGTGCTTCATCCAGGTCCACAGGCTGGATCCAGTGATTCCATGAGCTAACCCATGTTTTAGCAAGAGAACATTCCCCTCTGGCACTCCTTATTTCCTTCTACAGAGTAGGAAAAGGAAACATGTCCTTTTATCCTGAGTGTTTTCCCCTTCATGGTGTTAAATGAGTTTTAATGAATTTTAATGCCAGGATTTATAACACCTGTCCTTATTCTTCTATATTCTCTCTTCTGCCTAGGATTGTGTTGAAGGCTCAGTTTCTGTTACCAAACAAAGAACAGGATCTATTGGAGATCGTCCAGCCAGACCTACTCTTCTAGAACAAGTGCTAAATCAAAAGAGGCTGGTAAGTTCTATTGCTCGGCAGATTTTAAATTCCAGCCAATACAAAATGTGTGCACTTGAATGCTAGGTCATGATTCCCTAGAAGTAGAAAGTCAGATTGTTGTTGTACATTGTAACTTCACATAAGCAAGTGTTCAAAGCTGGAATGTATGACCACAAATTTATAAATAGTAGTTATGCTAACTACATTGGGATATTCCTCTGCCATGAAGAAGTGTATCCCCCTTTCTTTTGAGCAGACATCATCCAAAACTTAACTTGGATGGATGCTTTAACTTGTTAACCTAATCTTTTGGTAAAGTCTGCAGTCAAACATAAATGGGGCCCAATTTTGTAGCTCCATGAAGTGACCTGTAAGAAGTACAACTATCTGCAGAGAGAGAATGCATCTGCCTGTTTGAAAGTGTTTTAGTTGTGACTATTCACCTAATACCTTCATTAATTATGACTAACCAGTGCTCATTGTGATGCTATAGGTTTCATTAATCAGCTGTATATGTTATTTATATCAAGGACTCCTAGAAATTTTGAAAATGAAATTCTATCTAAATGTAGGATTTCTGTGTCTTTTAAGTTTTAATTATAGATTCTTTTCTATCCTGGTAATGTGTGGAATTTAGTGTGCTCCTCTGCAAAGTCGGGGGGGGGGGGCGCGCACGTGTGTGTGTATGTGTGTGTGTGTTCCCTTTCTTGCCTGTCTACCCACAGAGCTCTTATTTGGCCTTGGAAAGTTTGGGTTGTCTGTTTCAGTTTTCAGTAACACAGTGTTTCCTGGGAAACAGCAACTGGGAGCTTTTAAAGTAAATAGCCCTTTAAGGGCCTGGGCACAAGAACATGGCCCTCTGGAGATGAGGCTTTTGCCCATGAGTCAGGAACCATGGGATACAGGTTTTCAGGAGAACTGCAGGTAGGAGAAATATGGAGACTTGTTTATTTATAAAGGACATGCAATCTAGTACTTTTTTATATATTATTTAATCTGGGAATGTCAGAGGACTTTATGAATTACTCATCCTATGAAATAATTATTCCCATAGTATATATGGGAAGACTGAGATGCTATTTATCTTGGTCAAATCACAGCCTATGCAAGACACCAGTACTGTGAGGAGCAGAATGCATACTTCATGACTTTTCTTCCCGTCCCCTTTATATCACAGAACAGCACCTTGTTTCACACTTTCATATAATTTTTGGTCTCTGTCTGGTTTGAACTTTTTAAAAAAAGTAGATGTTTAAATTACCTGTTCATCAGCAACTTATTGTTAAATATCTAGTATGTGATAGTAAGGAGTGTTGTGTGCCTTTTCATCCTAATTCAGTTGTCTGGACCTAGCTTTAAGACTTGGCACTAATGTTGATTCCATCCATCTACCAGAGGTCATGCAGTGATGAAGGCTCTTCCTGTCTGATCTGTGCTTGTTTTATAACATTTTATAATGTTTTAGAGTTTTAATGAGCTCCCAATTTTAAGGTATTTTAAAATACTGCTGTAATGCTTTGTCCAGAACTTGTGGGATTTCTGTGTTTTAAAATTCTGGTGTTTTAATTTAAAATCTACTTTTTTTTTCTTTAAGTCATTATTAAGAAGTCCGGAAGTGGTGCAATTTCTGCAGAAACAGCAGCAAATGCTAAGTCAGCAAGCTTTGGAACAAAGGCAACAACAGTTTCAAGGAACACCTATTTGATTTGTCTCAATCATATATCTACAGTTAAATCTCATCTTGAAATGGGAAGTGGGACATGGATACATTCTTCACATTCTTAAAAAGGAATACTAGTGGTGTTAAGAAGGAAAATTTAAATTGTTGCTGTTAGTGCTTTGCTATACTTGTTTTGTGGTTGCACTTTTGGATTTCTGAGCTGTTCAGATATCCACAAACTTGTGAGCAAATCTAGAGGAATCTGGTTCCCTATGTCAGCAACTTTGTTTACCTTTCATATTTTGTATAGAAATGTATTGATATTGTTAATATTTACATATACATCCCCTTCCCACCAAATTCTTCCATTAAATTAACTAAACATTTTACTGTATGAAATGTTTAATATCTTAAATGAAGCCACTCTTTAATGACAGTCATTTGAAGAAGAAAAGGCAATTACTTTCTGTGGAAGTTGAGAAATAAAAGTACTGACTTGGAGCTAACCTAGTGGTATGACATAATGACCTAATGCTCAGGGATATATGGGACTTGAGTCAATTAGATTCTGTTGCACTAATGTTTAAAGACACAATGTCATGTGCTAGATGCACTAGTGACTGACAGAAGTGGAAACATCCTGTTGCTACTTGTCCATATCTGTGTTGAAATGTATTATTATTCTATGTAAAAACTTGCAGAAGATAACCACCAGAATCAAGGGCAAGCTTGAAGAAGTTGAAGTGCAGAAAAGCCGTAGAGCATAAAGAAGAAAGAAGAGCTTTGGGAAGAATTTAAAGCTGAAACAAAGTTAATCTAAGCTTTTTCATTGTTTACATAAACTTTTACTATAACATGTTTTTATTATTATTAGTAAGTGTTACTCCTTACAGAATTGGTGTCAACAGCTTGCTTAAGTGATAGTAGAATAATTTGTCATCTTTGGGGTGAACTAATATAAGGGTAGAAATAGATGATGTCTGATTTCTTATTTGTGCTGGCTTAAAAAAGTTAAGGCAGCACAAATGCAGAGCAAAGAGATGTCCTTACTCTATGTTATGCCACGTGATGGGAAAATCAGTGTAGCAGCAAAGGCTAATAATAGACTCTGTCGCTATTATACTCTGTTTATTCTGTGCCCTGTGGGGCTGGTTGGGTGGGGGAAATCCCAGCTTTCTCCACTGCTCTGGATCTGTGCCATAGATCTGGGATAATGGGGGAAAAGTGCTTTCCCACTTAGCCCTGCACAGCTAGCTGGGCAGGGGAATGCCCAGCATGCTCCACTGCCCCAGACCTGTGCTGGGCTGGAGAATGCCAGTTGTTCCTGCACCCAGCCAGTGGGGCTGGCTGAGCGGGGAGGCACTATTCCCTGCTGTCCGAGACCCATAGCCCAGGTCTGGGTAAGTGAAAAGATCATGTTGCACCTTGTCTTATGCCATCAAAAGCAGGACAAAGGACAACGTATGTGTTTTGTCCAGTGAAATGAATCAGCTGTGCAGTAACATGTCGCAGTACAGCTGAATTGCTCAACTTGGTGACGTTTCTTTTTAGCCCGAGAATATTTATTTGTCACTGTGTTAAAACCCATGAGTAACATTTTTATTCCTAAACAAAAAAAGATTAAAGCTCTGAATTTTAGAATAGCAGTTGTGTCCAAAGAGTAAAAATATAATTCCCTTTTTGCTCCTTAACAGTAGTCTGTCTTCTCAAGAAAGATACCTTTTTCATGAACTTTCTACAAGTCATCTAGCACTTAATTCACTCAAAACAATATTGGACACTTGATTTATAGTAAGTGTTAAATTTCAGGTTACTTGCCTAGGAATCCTGACATTGCATCACGTGAAGATGCAGCCCAAGTTTTGATCGTATTAAAAATTGTTCCTAAGAAAAGGGTGTTGTAGTAGTGAAGATTCCTGTTACGTGTGAGTGGTACATACTCCATTGGTATCATTTATCTGTTCAAGAATATGTGAGACACGCACATAGGTGTTTCTATATGTAATATATTTGTGTAGAAACTGTTCAGTAGGAATTTTAATTGTGTGTCTAGAATGATGCAGCTCGCTCTCTTGCTTGCATCTGTGCTCACTCGCTCGCTCTCATTTAATATCCTTTGTATCAACAATATTGGACCAGTGTTTTGAGCAAATCCTTTTGTAAAAACTATATTTTTTAATTTCCATTGCAATCGTGTGTTAATCTTGTTCTTTTTTATATTAAAATAGCCCTGATTAAGTGGCCTGAAACTTGGCTGCATTCCCTGATTGTTTTGTTCTTTGGGGATAAAGTATAACTGCTGCTTTAAAGTTGGTCATCATTTTCTGCATGTAAATAGTAGTTAAATGAGAGTTTTTTATAAATAGATACTTCCTTTCTAAAGAATTACACTTTGATTTAATTATAAAAGAAAGTAGTATTTCCTCTTTGTCTTTAATTTCATCAAGATTGTTTGTAGTGTTTACCCCAGTGGTTCCCAAGGGGTGCTGCAATATTGGCATTGCCACTGCCATGAGGTGATACTTCCATGTGCCTTTGTTCACTTGAGCTGTGTTGGAGCCAGAACTGGGAATCTGTGCACCTGCCCTCATAATGTAGCGCAAGTAAGCATGGCTTTCTTTTGTAGCTGCTTCTCAGTTTGGCTCTGGCATGCCTCCTAAAAACAGGTGCACAAGACAGTGCCTCTTGGAAATAGAGGTGCATGGGACAGGTGGAACAATGTGGAATTGGACCAGGAAGGGCTGCAGCGAGACTGCCCGCTCCTGCCACAGCCACTTCCTGATCAGCCTCTGGAGGAGGCAAGTGGTACAGTTCCACCTGCCTCTGGCAGTGGGGTGAATATAATCAGTTAATTAGTAATATATTATGAAGGTTATAAGAACATTATACTATTTTTTTTTAACTAGTGAGGTGGTCAGGTTTGCAGATGGAAAAAACATTCATTGATAAAGACCAGATGAGAGAACTACAGAAAAATTGTGTAAAATTGAGTGAATTGGCAACGTTGAATTTCATTTATTCCTTTAAGTGCAAAGTGATGCACATAGGGGAGGTGGGGAAACAATGCAAAGTATGCACATGCAACAAAGGGCTCTACATTTTCCGTTACTACACAGGAAGGAGATCTTGGGAGTTCTCATGGACAGTTTGCTAAGAAACAAAACAAATATGCATCTATAGTGCAACCATATGAATACTATGTAGCTTTAGTCCCCACATCTCAAAAAGGATATAGACGGAGTACGAAAGGTACAAAAGGAACAAGGATGATCACAGGTATGGAAAGGCTTCCATATGCAGAGGCTAAATTGCCTCAGACTTTTCAGTGTGGAAAATAAATGCTTGAGGGGGTATATGATGGTGGTTTAGAAAGTGGTGTCAAGAAAGTAAATGGTGATTTACTGACTATGGTCTTGCACAATACAAGGACTCTTGGGTAATAGGTTTAAAACAAAAGGTTCTTTTTTGCACTGTAAATAACTTGTGGAACTCATTGTACAGACATTCAAGAAGCCTGAGGTAGAATCAATCTAAATTGCAGTTTTCTGTAAGTGGAGAAGTTTAGATAGGGGGAATATGTGTTCTGTTTGCTACCTATTGAGGGGGTGGGGAGCAAATCTTACACTGGGTTCTGCCACTTTTAAACCAGTGTATGTGTGCCAAACTCCTGTTATGGCCAGAGACCGGTTTTGTGTGCTGAACTTCTGTTACTGGTATAGACTGGTTTCCAATTGCTTATACCAGTAAAAGTATAATATCTGGCCAAGAAGTTGTGGAAGCTGGTAGCTTAACTCAGTTCAGAAGGGGACTGAATCAATTCTTGGATGAAAAGTCCATCGCTAGGTATTGAACGTGGTAGAAAGGGGCAAAGGCTCGGAACCAGAATTCCCTAAACTTCTGAATGCAAGAAGCTTTAATGGGAGCAGAGCAGGGAGTGGAAAGTTCTGGATAAGCCCTGTTTACATGGCAGTTCTTGTGTACCTGATTCAGGATTTCTATACAATGTTTTGTGTCCAACTTTTCTAGTTTAATCCTTTTTGCTGGCATACTCGCCATTTGCCAGGATTACACAAACAAGGAAAACCAACTAGAAAAAGTAAAGAATGAAATAATCTATAGGAAGTACTTCAAATGGAAAAATAAACTATGAAGTGATTTCCCCCATAATCTTTTAGTAATGCTGAACCATTCTATTCTCTCTCCTACATAGTAGCTATAAATTCGTTGTTCAAGGACCATAGGTTGTCTGAGCTCACCAAATACGTCCTGCTGTTGTGCTTATTTTTCTGAGTCCATCCTTTACCAACAGTTTCACTGAGGACATTTTTCAAATCAAATTATTCAGTGTAGTGCTTCCCCTTTCACTGGAACTGAAGCAGGAAAGGAAGGTCACAGCATGTGTGAGTGGTAATTATCCCAAGTGTAATAGGAAAGATCAGACCTGGTTCTTCAGCTCATGATGGTGCAGATGGCCAACCTGTATGTGCAGGAGTTAATTAGCTGTTTTTTGTTCCTGTCTTATAAAGTGACAAGAAGGGTAGGTGTGCCTAAAAGTAAATCTGAATACCTTTAGTGACAGAAAAATAAAGGCGCAAGAATTAATTTTTGCTGTAAGGGATAGACCTGAAAAAGGACTTGGGCATTCCAATATCTAATGAAGGGACACCTATATTTTGATGTCTGCCTCCCAAATTGAAATCCAGAAGACACTCAGCTAGGAGATGGGAGGTATGCATTTTATTTCTCACTCTGCTGGAAGGTATCTTTGCCTCTTAGCTATTGGAGTAATCACTCTCTGGCCCAGTAAATACATAGGTGGAATAGCTTCAACAAGAAACTTTACCTACCCCAAAACTTATTCTTCCTTGTTGTGTGGGGCTTCATTCAGTAGGCATAACCTGCAAATGCTTATGGGACTGAGTTTGGCAGCTGGGGGAATGCCAGGGACTGAGAAAGCAGGGGGTGACACCTAGTTTAAGGATCTTTCTGGGGTTTGGGGTGTGAATTAGGACTTCAAGCTGCTCAGTAGTGTCTTGGCTTGCAGTTCAGTGAATGCCCAGTGGCAGAAATATTGGTGTCTGTAGGGTTAGGTATCAATAGGGGAGAACTCAGAACCTCACTGGCATCCAAATGTTGGATGTAGGCACCTAAAGTGCCAGAAACAAATGTAAGAGCCTTTGTGGGTTTGAACTCACTTGAATGATTTGGATACTTTGAAATGGAATCATTTATATTGAGCAGGAGGTTCTTGCTCTTCCTCCCTAACTGATTTTAATACACTAAAATGAGCTAGAATAAAGAAGTGGTTTATTTTTTGTATAATTTGCAAATTGCTATGTTTGTAAATGCTGTTAGGAGGCTCTGGGATGAAAGATGCTACAGAAATGTCACATACAGTCTCAGAAGGGCTATGGTCCTGCTTGGAACATAATGACAAAAGCCCACAGGAGGAAAATAAAATGAGAGAAAGTAGAAGCAACAGTCATGTTGGGACTAGTAGTTTTTTGGTGAGATTTGTTATCTTCAGATTAATACCTTGTTATTCTGTTGTCCACCCCAGCACATTGCAACAACAGCTGGTGTTAATGAGATTTCACATGGCTTGCCTTTGACTGTCTACTATAGAAACTCTGTTTTCACACGCCTGCCTTAAATGGTGTGTGACAGAGAGAACAGCATGTGAAAATTACACTTTCAATTCAGTGTCTGAACAAGCTACTTTTTGTACATACTAAGTTATCAATTACATAGGTCCATTTTTGTGAACACTTTATACAACTCATTATCTACTGTACTCAGATGTTTTGAGGTTAAAACATGTCTATCCTGTTTTAGTAGTATTTGTTAGCTTTGTTTTCTCAAGCAGGAAGCAACCTACACAGTGTCTTACCACTCCTATCTTTCGGGATATGGACAAGACTCTGTAGTGCCACAAAAATAGAGACTATGAGGGGCAAACTGGTATTCCAGGTGGCTGGCTGGAAAGCTTTGAAAGCAAGCTCTCCAACTGGGGGTGAGACACAAGAGGGGCTGCTTCTTGGGACCCTCCCTATTCCCAGAGGAACTGCTATCCTCACCCCTGCTGTCCCTGATCGGAGGGAAACTTTCTGGAAACTCTAGTCAAACACCAGTTGTGCTTCACTTAAGAGTAGCTGGATGAAAGTTTTGTGTTTTGGAGGTTTTGTTTTTCTTTTAAAACTCCACAGGAAGTTAGACTAAATGAGTTATCTATTCCTTCTGGCCAAAAGTACTTGGGATAAGTTCTCTAAAAGTAACCTGTGCAGAAACCATCTTTCCTCATAACATTTGGGTACTGTGGAATAAGAAAAAAAAGATAGCTTTCTAATTTTGGTCATGCAATCATTTGAAAATCATATGAAAAACCAACAGCTCTGTGTAAAATTATTAATTTGTGCTTTCCCAGAGGGTTATTTCATAGGGAAAGGAATTAGACACAATAACATTGTTTAAAGAATCAGTGGAATTGAATAGCTTGGTGACACTTCTCAAAATTATCTTGTCCAAGATGACCACATTTGTTTTGTTTTCTGTGTTGGAGATTCAGCATTGATTCCTGCAGCTGTTATTTTTATGTGGATTGGGACTTGCAGAATGTACTTCATGTGTGTTGGTGTCCTGCTCATTGTCATAGTCTCTTACCATGGGGAGACAAGGAGTATTTATTTGTCCTCTCCACTTCAAGGACTGCCCATAGATCTCGCTCCCAGACAATGCTATAGCACACAACACAGGGACTGAGATAACTGAATCTAGTGATTCTGGAGAGGGATTCAGCTGGATGCGTAAAGAAGCATGGCTCTGAAGTGTAGGATACATAAAGAAGCAGAAGAAGCTCTAACATCCATTGAACCTTCCAGCTGGCAGAGCCTTGCAAGGGGAACTACTGTTCTGTCAAATGCTGAGAGCCATTATTGGTGTCACTGGTAAACCAAGTCACTCATCAGTCATGGATGTACTAAGCCCCTTGCAGTAAATAATCCCACCTCATTAGAATCTCCAAATATAATGCAGAACTGTAGATGTGGAAGATGCACAATGTATGTGACAACCTACAGGGAAACAAAGAAAAATAGGGTTGGGAGGGACCTCGGGGGCATCTAGTCCAAGCAGCTGCTCAAGGCAGGATTATTTCTGTTTAAGCCATCCCAAACAAATGTTTGTCTAACCTGCATTTAAAAACTTCCAGTGACAAAGATCCCTGCACCTAAGTAATTTGTTCCAGTATTTAACCA